AGGCAATTTTTTTTTTTTTTTTTTTTTTTTTTTTGTCTTTTGTCTTTTTCCGTGTCCAGCAACGGATCGCAACCCTCAGTATCGCCCCCGTACCGGACTGGGGACCAGCAACGGGATCGCAACCCTCGGTGTTGCCCCCGCGCCTCGCTCAGCCAGTGAGCGGGAACCGGTCTGTATGTGGGATCCGAACCCCCGGGCGGGAGCACCGCCGCGCTTCCCAAGCGGCGCACTGTAGCAGTGCGCCACTGGGCCGGCCCTAGGCAATTCTTTAAGGGAAAAACCCCACACAGGATTGAGGGCTGCTCTCAGAACTGAGGACCATCTAGTCTCTTACTCTGCTTGGGAAGGTAACTCTGCTGAACGGAATCTCCAGGACAGCTCATAGAGCAGTCCCACTCTTCTTTACCTCGATGTTGCCTCTCCAGCCGTGCTTGAGGATAGTCACAGCCTTTATTGCTGTATTCCTTCATGCCACAGGGAGGAGAAGCACCTGTCAGAGTACAGAGGTGAGTATACAATGGTTGAGCAAGAAGCCGATTCAATGGCTCAGACATATTTCTTACTTGGGCCTAGTGTAGTCATTTATTTTCTGAAAATCCATGTATCTTATGCCAATAGGAACAAAAAAGTTAGTTTCAAACTGCAGTAGACACCTCTTAAAACACAAAAGATAATGAGCCAAGGCCTATGCCACCACTATCATTTGTGTGTATCTCATATTATTCACAAATCTCCTCTCTGAAGGAAGTGAGGTGGGCTCCCCAGTTAGCTCATTTGGTTAGAACATGGGGTTGATAACACCGAGGTCAAGGGTTCAGATTCCCTTACCTGCCAGCCGCAAAAAAATAAATAAAAGAAAGGAGGTGGAGGGAATTTGTGAGAAAATATTTTGAGTGAAATGAAGGATGAAAGGGCTGGCCCATGGCTCATGCGGGAGAGTGTGGTGCTGATAACACCAAGGCCACGGGTTTGGATCCCTATATAAGGATGGCCGGTTGGCTCACTTCAGAGAGCGTGGTGCTGACAACACTGAGTAAAGGGTTAAGATGCCCTTACCAGTGATCTTTAAAAAAAAAAAAAAAAAATGGAAGGATAAAAAAAACAAATAATCCACTGCATTTTGACTTCCTACAAAGGAAAAAAATGCCAAAACTTGTAGATTCCTCTCAGAATATTCCTTGTTCATTAACTATGAAAAAATGTGTTATTGCAAGGAAAAGGCAAAGGTAAATGCTGATCATACAAGGCTCTGGGAAGAACAAGTGATTAAGTTACACTGCGACCCAGACTGCAATCTTGTTTTAATGAGAAAGTCTGCAAAACCTTCAGCAGCCTCCACAGTCCAAATCAAGGCTTTTATAAGCAAATATTGCCACCTTTGGGGCCACTAGACAATAAAATCCTTGGGAAATTATAAAATGGAACTAGCAGGAAATATGAAAATAACAAGTCATTCTACTTTCCAAATATATGGTGGTGAAGTTACATTATAAGGGCTGGCGGGTTAGCTCAGTTGGTTAGAACGCGGTGCTGAAAACACCAAGGTCCAGGATTTGATCCCTGTGCCCAACTGCCACCAAACAAACAAACACACACACAAAATTACATTATATCTCTATTTTTGTGGTTACATTTTATTTAAGTGTACTTTTAAAAATTACATTTTGGTAAAATTGTTTTTCTAACTTCATGTTCTTTCAGAAGGCACTTTTATTATATTTTTCTGTTTGCAGTGGTCACTAAAGGACTATTTTATGTATAAAAAAGGAATAACACCAGCCCTGGCCTCCACAGTCAAAAAAGCAAAACTTAAAAGAAAAAGTTATTT